GATATCTTTCAAAAGAAGTGAGATATATAGGCTTAAAGTGGACGATCCGGGTGTCGTTCTATTAGAGGTTTTACGGTATTCGACTTGTCTGAAAATTGCAATAAATTCTTTTCGATTTTTCGTTTTTTGAGAGCAAGGTTTCAGTAGTTCTCTAAGAAATGGGCGGAGCTTAGAAATTTTATAAATTTTGGATAATTCAAAACTCAACACCAGTTCAAAATGGCCTAGAAATGATATTCATTTGGTGTAATATCTAGGCCGCTCAACCCAACTAAAATGCTCGGAGAGCTCATAACACAGCCCATCAGACATGAGCGGAATTCCTTATTCCTTATTCCTTATTCCGGGTGTTTTTTCTATTCCTTATTCCTTATTCCTTCTTCCGGATTTTAAATTTTTCATTCCTTATTCCTTATTCCTTCTTCCGAGTTTTTTACTTTTGTTCCTTATTCCTTCTTCCTTCTTCCTGATTTTTTTTGTTATTCCTTTACAAAACTTTAAAACTTTTTCTATCAAAAATCAGAAAAAAATTCTCAAAACTGGGAAAACAATTTGAACGCTCTAAATTGCCGCGTAACATTTTGTTCAGCGGAGCACCTTTGCACCGTTTTTCGAAAAAATTTTTTTGGAATCTTGGAAAAGTTATGCGTTTATCTCAGTGTTTTTTTCAAAATAAATTTGGTTTTTACAATTACTAAGTACTTCAGAAAAAATGTCTAAAAACGGAGAAAGTTTGACGAATGCTTCGTCAGAACAGAAAACGAGTGTATCCTTTGGTAATCGGTTTCCAACCAGATTCGGGAAAATTCCGCAGCAGAAATGGCTAGATCTGGTAAGAAAATTGTCCGAATCAGGTTGGGAAATTAGCTTTCTCGGTCGGATCTGGTCAGAAAATCACCGGATCTGGTCGGAAAATAAAAACTTTCCAAATCTGGTTGGAATTTTACTCGAATCTGGTTGGAAAATGCGCGTTCCCGAATCTGGTTGGAAAATGCGCGTTCCCGAATCTGGTTGGAAAATTGCCCGAATCTGGTTAGAAACCGATTACCAGAGTCGGGCCTCATTTTTACCCCGAAAAGAAGCTGATTGAATAGCGACACTGTTTACAAATTAACTTTTTTTTTACTCAATTTGAAAAATTATGGCCTGGACAACTGATAATTCACAATTATAATTTTGTTTTTTAGTTTTTTAATTTTAGTTTGAGAGTTCCCTCTTCATTTTTCTTGTTTGTGTCTCGGTTTGTGAGTTCTCTCTTCGTTTTTCGTGTTTTAAAATAAACAGTGTTTTTCAAGACAAAATGAAATCTTCCTTCGTTCGGAAATTCTTTCCTTCCTTATTCCTTATTCCTTATTCCTTATTCCGGGTGTTTTTTCCATTCCTTATTCCTTCTTCCGGATTTTTAAATTGTTATTCCTTATTCCGTATTCCTTATTTCTGATTTTTAAATTTCATTCCTTCTTCCTTATTCCTTATTCCAGATTTTCAAAATTTTTATTCCGCTCATGTCTGCAGCCCATATTTTATCAAATTGTGTAGTTTTGCATTTCTCTGAAAGACAAATAAACTTTCTACAATTTCTTGGAGATCGATTTTTTGAAAACAGGGTGAACTTTGGAGTTTTGCCGGAAAGAAGCCAGCAGCCTTTGGGGCGGCTGGTCACCGCCGAGTGACGTGGAGGGTGAAGAGAAACGAGGCGACGGCAGAAGAGATGAAAATATTGTTATTTTCTTGGAGACGCAGAACAAACCCATACATATGTAAGCAGCGGCGATAGATGTACACACTTTCCACTTCCATTCGAATATTTCTAAGTTCCAATACGAAATATTCTCTTCTTTTTTTTTTCAAAAAATGGCTTCAATCATCGAAATGCCAGAATTGGTCATGGAAAAAATGATTGGATTTTCAGACTTTAAAGCTGTGTGAGTCTATTTTTTTCCTTTAAATTTTTTGAATTTTAATGCAATTTTTGCAGTCTGACCCTTCGCCAAGTGTGTCATAATTTTCGAAATTTCATCGACGATTTGAATGATTCGAAGTTGCCGGATTCGAAATTCCAAAAAATTAAATTTGTATCTGACGATCGCAGGATAGCGTTTGAACTTGTGGAGTCCAAGAAATCGCCTAATTGTATTTTATATTCTAAAGCTCAACGGTCTTTTCATGGAAAAACGGAATTCTTTGGATATCCGAATATTTTGAATGTTGCAGTTCGAGACCTGGAATTGGTTTTGAAATTTCGAAAGTCTATTTTGGAACGGTTGTATTTGGAATTCGACAATGTCCATCTTTACGGTGGTTCATTGGTTCATACTGTACCAATCAAGCTGAGCAATATGTTTGAAAAGCTCAATCGAAATGTCAAAACAAGAACATTGAGTATCAAAACAAACGATCCGTCTCAAATAATGAAAATTTTAAAATTTGTGGATCCAGGAACACTGAAAATTATTGAGTTGTCTTCATTGGATGACCAAATGGAGATCGAAATTGACGAATTTGTGAAAACTGAGCATTGGAAAAAAGCTGAGGGGATGCGTTGTGGATTTGATGTGTTGAACCTGAACGTTAAAGACATCTGCCATTTTTCATCATGTTCTATTAGAACGAGTTCAATTACTGCACAAGAATTGGACCTTTTGAAAAAGGTTTGTCAATTTTAAATTGAAATTTTTTATAATTCGTGATATTTCAGACTTTCTCCAGCTCTTCAAAACTTGAGTATTGCCGTTTGGAGTTGAGAACTTTCAACGAAGAAATGTCCAACTTGTGGGGCCCTGCGAACATTTTCGGTTCTAGTAGTACTTGGTACTTCCAAATGGAAAATTCGGATGATAAAATTCTGCGCATCGAGACTTATCAGATTCCTCAAGAACATTTGCCTCGAAAATTTGTTAAGTTTGATATGGTTGATAGAAGTACATGGTTATAACGAAAATTGATTTTTCTAGAATTTGTGTTTTTACCGTAAAACCTCTAATAGAACGAC